CTGCTGCTTAGCCAAAGCGTCTTCAATCATCTTGGCGATTTGCTCCGCACTTATCATAAGCGCCTCGCGGGGTTATCCCTCGCTGGATACCGTATTATCTGATGCAACTGCGGAGCCAGCATCAGACTCTTCATCTTCTGAAGGGCGTCTTGTCCGAACCCTACCATAGGTTGCTCGCTCGATGGTTCCGGACTGCAGACGGGTTTTAGGCCGGGAGGCTCTCTTGCTGGTCATGTTGGCAGTGACCCTTGAACGTTCACCGTCTTCGACCATTGTTCTTCTTCTTCGGAAACGTCTAGTCCTTGGCTTTGGCGCTTCCATGCTGAGTCTTTGGAACACGGAAACTCTTTCGGGAAACATTTTGGTGCAGTCGCACTCAGATAATACCGCCCGAATGAGTTTTGAGCAAGGACATTGAGTCTCTAATCTTTGAGGGCTCCTCTTTCTGGATTTACTCGTACCTCCAGCACAATAGTATAGCTTGTCCGTTTGAAAGTCGGAGCAACCTATCGTGTGTTGGCACGATCTCCCAGGTATAACGTCATCGTCATCTGACAATAACGTTTCCTTCTGAGAATGAATTTCCTTCTTTGAGCTCTCCAGAGTCACACGCCTCGAAACACGCCTTTGTGGGTGTGAATCTTCAACGGGCTCCTGCACTTCGATGCGCAAAGTTGTGCGCTTGGGTGCCACGATTTTCTCTAAATGTTGAGGGTTGCGGTGACCCCCAGCATGTTGAATTGTTTGGGTCTTCTTTATTGGCCCCAACCGTTCTTGAACTAGAGCTTTGCCTCGTTCTTTGGAAAGTGGACCGAGGCGCTCCAAAACTGACTTCTTCCTCTGGGATGGTCTTGTGGGCTCTCCTGGAACAGTTGCGGAAATCACCAGCGATTTAGGTTGATTCGCCGTAGTTTGAACTTTCGGCGGCTGCAGTTGTTGTTCCTTGGTCTGAACCACTGCTTCAGACTTCGGCCTCCAAACCCTACGAGTTGATGGCGCCGATGGGACTTCACCCGACGCAACTTCGGCGTCGATCGGGGTGAGGTTGTCGTTGGTGGCTTCAACTTCTTCGCACCAACGGGCTTTTCTCCTAGAGGAGAACTTCTGAAATTTCTTGGACTTATGGGGGGAGGTTGATCCAGATGAGGACACGTACTCCTCGTACTTCTGCTGGTCGAACTCATACTCGACCTCCTCCACGACCGGGCTCGAAATCCGCGGCTGCGACGCTCCGATCTCGGCAGCGAGATCGGTGGCTCCCACTGTGGTCGCCAGATTGTTCGCTCGGAAAATCGTTGTTTTCTTCATTGATTCCAGTGCTATCTTGAATACCAGTTTTTCGGTTACAGAAGATCCGGTCTTTTTTTAGATCCGGTTACAATGAAAATCAAAAATAAAGAAAATTAAAAAAAATTACAACTTTTTCTCCTTCGTCGAACAAATCGCGAGCTCCTGTTATTCGGTCACTCGCTTGCGTGGGTTGTTTGCCTGCGCCGGGGTTGTTTGCCGTGGACCACCGCGCGATCTAGATCCGGACCGATCTACGCAGTATAACGGGTATTATTGCACTAAGGAAATAATAGCCGGAGGGATTATTTCACCAAGGAAACAATCGCTCGAATCTCGGGATCAAAGACCAAGCTTTGATCCGGAGTGTAACAACGTAGATCTGAGATCTCGTTCCCCTCGAACTCCTGCCTTTTTGTTATGCGGGTGCTCGCCGAGAATCGGATCCAAACGTCCAAGTCTTCAAGCCTTCAAAAACTCCAAGATGAGGTCTTAATCCGGCAGAGTTTCGGCTCTCCAAAAGGAAACCTTGAAATCTTGGGCCCAGGTATAACAAATTCAGCCTTGAAGTTGTCACCTTCAATTTAATACATTTGATTCACTACTTATAAGTATTTATTATTGTAGGACAAATCCAATTCTAAGTACAAAGCGTACATAAACAAACCCCTTCCTCACTTTAAAAATTTACAAGTTATCATGGGTGATGATCAAGCCAAGGGTGATTTTGTTAGGCCCGTGTACGCTAACATTGGGTCTAGTAGGTCCATACCTATTCCCGATGATGATTGCGAGATTCTAGAGGAGAGTGAAGCTGAACCACAGTCTGATGCTTGCAACCAACCACGTTCTGGTGCTGTTAACCAATCACAACCCACTAGATATAAGACTAAGAGTAAAGACAACACGACTTCATCATCTAGCAAAAAAACCAGAAAATTTAATCGTGAAGAGGAAATGATGTGTGCCTTTGTTGAGTCCATGTCTCAGTCAATGAGGAATCAACACGTTATACACTGGACTGAGCAGTTGGCCACAGCGTTGAATGAACATAGGTCTGAATATTCCGAGGAGTTCCTCGATAGGGTTTTAGACCATTTATATGACAATGAACGTGAAGCTAGGAGGTTTTTCATAAAATCCAAGGAAGGTCAGCAGAGGTACATCACAAAATTAGTTAACGACCAAGGTTGGCCGGATAGCTAGTTTGTTGGGTTTCGATTATATTTTGATGGATATTGTTGTGTTAATTGCAAACTATTGATGTTGCAATATCTATTTTTATTATGAAGAACATCTATATCGTTGTGGGATTGATGAATTGGTATATTTGCAATCTTTGTTGCAGGTAAGTATGGTCGTGGAATGAACTATGAGTTCTTTGAATTTTGCCTTTGCTCTTGAGATCAGGTAAATGGGTTTGTTGCTTGGGTTTACTGATGTCGGCTTTTATATTATGTTGCTTGGGTTTATTACTCCATAGTCACACGTGGTTTCTGTGGGTTTGTGGCTGCTATTGGGAGCTTGTGCAGCTCCTGCTACTGCTGGGGTTTGCCAACTGTTTTCTTTTGAGCTTGTGTAGCTCCTTGCTTTGTTTTGAGCTTGTGTAGCTCCTTGCTTTCTTGGGTTTGTGGCTGTTATTGGGAGCTTGTACAGCTCCTGCTGCTGCTGGGGTTTGCAAACTGTTTTTTTTAGCTTGTCTTATTCCTTGCTTTGTTTTGAGCTTGTGTAGCTCCAATCTTTGTTGGGTTTGTGCCTGTTATTTGGAGCTTGTGCAGCTCCTGATCCTGCTGGGGTTTGTTGCAGAACTGTTTTGAGCTTTGTTGGGTTTGTGCCTGTTATTTAACAAATTGTGCAGCTCCTGCTGCTGCTAGGGTTTGTTGCTTGACTGTTTTGAGCTTTGTTGGGTTTGTGCCTGTTATTTAACAAATTGTGCAGCTCCTGCTACTGCTGGGGTTTGTTGCTGAACAGTTTTGAGCTTGTGTAGCTCATGCTGCTGCTGGGATTTGTTGCTTGACTGTTTTGAGCTTGTGTAGCTTATGCTGCTGCTGGGGTTTGTTGTTTGACTGTTTTGAGCTTTGTTGGGTTTGTGCATGTTATTTAACAAATTGTGCAGCTCATGCTGCTGCTGGGGTTTGTTGCTGAACTGTTTTGAGCTTGTGTAGCTCATGCTGCTGCTGGGGTTTGTTGCTTGACTGTTTTGAGCTTTGTTGGGTTTGTGCCTGTTATTTAACAAATTGTGCGGCTCCTGCTGCTGCTAGGGTTTGTTGCTGAACTGTTTTGAGCTTGTGTAGCTCATGCTGCTGCTGGGGTTTGTTGCTTGACTGTTTTGAGCTTGTGTAGCTCATGCTGCTGCTGGGGTTTGTTGCTTGTTTACTCCCTATCTGTTGGGTTTGCTGCAATTTTGTTAAGAGCTTGTGTAGCTCGTGGTTGTATTTTGTGTTGCTGTTTTTGGTTTTCCTTGCCTGTGGGTTACTTGCTGTTTTGGTTTGCCTTGCCTGTGGTTTTCCTTGCACTTGATATGTGGTAATGATGATGATCAGCGTTTACTGAGAATGCAATCTAACTTACATCGTTTATTATATCCAGATGAGGCAAAAGGGGATGAGATTGTAGCCTACATTGACTTGACAATGTCTAGGCGAGGCAATTCATCATTATAATGCAATCTGTAATAAACATGTAAGTTATAGGTGGGGCAATCAATGATGACAAGTTGATCTATTACTGAGCCATACGATATCAATTAGAATTTGTACCCAGTTCAAACAACAGTTTTCATTACATCCTCAGTAGTTTTTGCAAGTACAGGTACATGACATGAAGTTTGTAATAATTAAAATAACACAAAAAATTGCTAAGAAAATTGCAGAAATTTTCCAAACTAGTAGTTGATTTTCGACAAGTCTCAATTCTTTCTTCAGCTTCTTTGATTGCAAAATATATTTATCTCCATACCTATTTTCTTTGACATATTGGCTTCCTTGGTTGCTTGATGACTCTCCTCTTTCTTCAGCCCATTTGAAAAAATTATATTCTTTATTTGGGAATTTTACACACCCCCAATAACACCTACCCTTATTTTTACCATTTTTGCACACTTTCATCGGTGTTCGGAGATGACAGTCGCAATAAACTTCATAATTCTGCCAGCACTCTTCTGATGTCATTTTCATGTCGGGGCAGCAAATTGAAGACAATGGGAATTTTATAAATGCTAAAAATGAGAATGCTTGGATTAATTTTGAGGCCTCAATGTGAAATTATAGCCACCATGGTCCTCTACTAGCCGTTGCTACAGTGTGTTGTCTAAAAATTTTGAAATCTGAATTTTGAGTCTGAAAATAGCCGTTGCTACAGTGATTTCAGCTTGAAATCTGAGTTCTGGGGGCATCAATTCGTTGCTACAGTGTTTTTTAAAATGTACAGGGGGCTAGCCGTTGCTACAGTATCGATTCCCAGAAAAACGGGTCTTTTTGAGCCAAACATGGTTTTAGGAATTGGACCATTTCTATAAAAGTGAGATTCCTAATCCTTTGGGTGAAACAAACATAGAATACAAAAAAAATGTGATTCCATAAATCTAAAACTTGTCTATAAATTTTTTATGAATTATATTAGAATCCATAAATAAAATAGGATTCATAATTCTATTCCTACCTTCTATTGAACCAAACAGCCCCTTAAAATAAGCTTGATTGGCAGTCATCACCCGCGGCGTTGAGAATCTTTTCCACAATTCCACGCTCAATATAGTTTTGTCCGTGCCAGTAGAAATCTCTCAATCTCTCTCCCTCTCTCTCTCTAGAATTCCTGCTTGCGTCCTCCCATTTTCTTCTCTCTCCTCCCTCTTTCCTTTCTTTAGTCCTCCCAGTTCTGCTACCAATCTTTTAGACCTGGAAAATTCCCCTTTCTTATGAGCTCTACAAATTCCCTTTTCCCTTCTTCTTCTCATCAACAACAATGGCTGCTGATGATGAGAAGAAGAGACAGCCAAATCATGTGATCGAGGGCTCGATCCCGACGATCGTGAAGGAGCTCTTCGCCGGCGGCGTCGCCGGTGGGATCGCCAAGACCGCCGTTGCCCCGCTCGAGAGAGTCAAAATTCTGTTCCAGGTGCTTTTTTGTGCTAAAGTTGGGATTTTGACATCTGGGTTTTGGTTGAAATTGAATTTAGAGTTATTGGGTTTGGGTTCTTTTCTTTAACTTTAATTTGGCGTTTTTTGTTATTTGGCCTCTTGTGGAGAAATTGATTTATTAGAGTTCGATGAGGTGTCTCCCATTTAGGGTGGATTGGGAGCAGTTTACCAAATTCTGGACACGCTTTGGTTTGCAGTTATTGAGAGGGAGACATGTATTTGTGACTAGGCGCAATTGGATTGATTTTGGGAGTATCACTAGCTTCATCTTGATAATTGTGCATGTATTAACTCTAGAATGATACTACGAAAATCCACACTTTTTGAACTACAAGAAACATAAGTGTACACCATGGGCGTCCTCCCTCTCGAATTGTGGTCAAAATTGATAGTTCGAAATAAGTTAAGAGCTTGTAGTCTAGTTATCCCTACTCCTAATTGTATGCATGTGCACCAACGAGATACATATATGGACATATAAACACATGTAAACTGAGTGTTATAATGATAGCATTGTTGCCTTTTACTGTCTGCAAGATGAAAGAGAAGCCTAATTACGATTTCTGCACCTACCATCAATGAAGCACAATTGGACAGTTATGCTTGAATCGAGAGTCTTCAATGATCCTCAAGGGATTTCTATTTGGAATCTGAGGAGTCTACACAACTGTTTGGTCATTGTTTGCAAGAATTCTACTGCAGCAATTGGAGCTTCGTACGGCTTTAGCTACTATGTTAAGATGTAGCATTGGAAAGAAGTTGTTGTGCTTTAAGATAACTAATGCACGGATTGAACTTTTGCCTCACTTATTATAGTTATCTTTTAATGTAGATGAGAAAAGGGGAGCTCGGTGCATGCAGCCTTACCTTGCATTTCGTTTTTACAAGATGTTGTTTCCACAAGTCAAACCCGTGACCTCTAGGTCACCCAGTGACAAGTCTTAATGTTGTGCTAGGGCTCCCTCTATCTTTTAACATAGCTCATCATCAAAATAATTGACATATATCCATATATCTAATTAGATTATTCTCTCTTTGCCTCAAACTTCCATTTAGCTTTGCGATAGATGTTTCTCTTCATATGCTCATTCAGTTAATTTTGATGTATTGAAGACTGCTTTATGGCTATTAGCAATGATGACAGATGACATATCACCTTTGCATATACCTATGAAGCAAGGAACATGTTAAATTGTTAAGTGTAAATGTAGGAGTAACTAATTATATGTGAATTGCGCAGAATGAGGTTTGCAGTAGTGCTCTGTTTTCTGCATTTCAGGTATTTTTGGTTGTCTGGTTCCATTTGATGAAATTATTCATAAATTTCGCTATTTTATTGATTGCGCAGACCAGAAAAGAAGAATTTCAAAGTGTTGGGTTGTTTGGATCTTTTAGAAAGATTGCTCAGAATGAAGGGTTGCTAGGGTTTTACAGGTCCGTCTTGTTTGTAGCTCGCTACTTTTTTTTTTTGGGTAATTGCACATAAACCCCCTCTTCTATAGCTTTAGTAGCACTTCCCACTCCCCCTCCCCCTCCCCGAACTAATTTATTAGCATCTAGCTCAGATAGATTGCAGATAACACCCCTCTCCCTCATGAGTTGAGGGGGGCTAAGTTCTAGTAAGTTACTTGAGGTGTGTTAAGTGCTACCAGAGATATAGATGAGGGGGCTTATGTGCAATTTGCCCTTTGTTTTTTATGCTATTCAGCATTTATCCCATTGTGTATTTTTCAGAGGTTGATTTGCTCTGTGGTTTCTAGGGGAAATGGAGCAAGTGTTGCTCGAATAGTACCTTATGCAGCTTTACACTTTATGGCTTATGAGCAATACCGCCGGTGGGTTATTCTCGGTTTCCCAAATATTGGAAAAGGCCCTGTACTTGATCTAGTAGCCGGATCAATTGCTGGAGGAACTGCTGTCATATGCACCTACCCTCTTGATTTGGTTCGCACTAAATTAGCTTATCAGGTAAAAATTATGAAGCCTTATAACTTTTAAATATCCTCTTCATAAGCTTTATTTTAATATGACACAATGGCCACCGAATTTTAGTTATCTTTTCTGCCAAAGTTTTATCCATCAAGTCAAAGAACCAAAGTAACGAAATTTGATTCTACCTGCTTTACATCATGTAGTTAATGTTAGGCCGCAAAGGAAATTGTACTTGAGCTCATGAGAAACTCTCCTTTCAGGTTGTTGGATCATCTAGGTCAAAGTTCAGAGGATTATCCAGCACTGAACATGTTTATAATGGCATATTAGATTGTATTTCAAAAATTTACAAAACAAATGGCATCAGAGGCCTCTATCGAGGTGTTGGTATGTATCTCTTATTTTTCTTGTTTTCTTTACTGGGTTCCCACTGGTCTTTTATGCATTACTTCACACAATGTTTGCCATTTCCACTTTTCCTAAATTGCCCATTCTGTATCAATATAACTGTGCACTGCACTAAGTAAACATATTGCTTATGTCATCATTCCATCATCATCTAAACCTTCCCTATGAATATGGGATTGATCTCCAAACGCAGCCTTCAGGCCAAGGTTGATTGAACTTTTACAACTGACTGTCAAGCTGAGACAAACAGCCTTTTGAATTATGCCAATTTATGGCCGTGGAGTGATAGAGAAGAGAGCAGTTTAGCATAAGTCCTGCTAGACGAGTTGGTAGATAGAAAAACTTGCCTCATTGCATCTTGGACTTTAGGCTTATGCAACTAAACAATCCTTCATAATTGTCCTTGAATAAAGATTATTCACATGAATAACACTAGAGATGATTTTAGGAGAACTTCATGGACATATTCTTTAGATTAGATGTTGATATAACCCCAGTACCATCCTCAATTTTGGACAGATCCTCTGTAGTTCTACTCTGTGTAGCACGGACACGGATCCGACACGCGGATCCGACACGCCGACACGAGGCAAATCCTAAAAAATAAATAGGATACGTGTGTTCAACATGTGTGTTCGACACGTGTGTCCGAGACGGACACGACACGACACGGCTTCATGTTATGCGTGTCCGTGCTTCATAGGTTCTACTGCTGCAGAGTGAAACTTTTTGACTCGTCTACTAGGAAGTCTATTTGTCAAAAAAACAATTGTCTATTTCTCAAGGTTTCAAATGGTGACAAAAAGCACCGCTATAGCAGTGCTAATAGCATTAGCGGTGGTCCACCGCACTGCTTTGGGCAATTGTAGTGGCAAAAGGCGTCTCCGTAATTTTTGCTCGCAATGGCGCTAAGAAGTTAACCGTTATTTTAAAAGCGAGCAATTGAGTTGGATTTTTAAAAGCAGGGCAATTGAGTTGGATATTTAAAAGTAAACCTGACCAGTAGCTAACCCAACCCTAATTTTTAATAAAACCTAATCCCGTTCCCATTTGCCTCTCTCCTCTCTAATCCCCATCGATAAAATAAACTCCAAATACCGTCACCTTCTCTCTTCATTCTCGTGTCTCCCCTAACCCTGCCGCTTCCCTAATATCTAATAATAAAAAATCTTAAACAGGTACGTCTTTTCACTTTGTATAGTACTATGTTAATATTATGTGATGTCTATTTCATGTTTAGGATCTCTATAAATCATCAAATATGCATTTGTAGCGTTAGTTCCTTGAAGTTTTCTTATTTTTTTATATATGCATGCATATTTAAACCGGACTGCTATTTGGATTTGCACTTGTTGCCGTTTTTGTGGCTATTACCCGCAAATAGGCTTAACGGTACCTCACCGCTACGCGATGCTATCCGCTATCCACAACCTTGTTGTTTCTCTGGGGGTAAAAGAGTAAAAAATATATACTCAGGTTTCTATCATGCAACAATAGAACTACAAGGGATCTACCCTCAATTGCGCAATAATACAAGGGCTCTATCCGCAATTGGGAAATAGTATAGGTCGTCTTTCTGCAATTGGGCAATAGTTTAGAGGGTCTATTTGCAATTAACCCTATTATTTTGTGAGACTCAAATAGTTGTTTTTCATTTCCAAATGTTCGGGTTTAATTTGACATGCTAGATATGTGATCAGGTCCAACCTTATATGGAATCTTCCCATACTCTGGACTAAAATTCTACTTCTATGAGGAGATGAAAACCCATGTTCCTGAAAATCACAAGAATGATGTAATTGTGAAGCTTGCATGCGGATCTATTGCTGGTTTATTAGGCCAGACAATGACCTATCCCCTTGATGTTGTGAGGAGACAAATGCAGGTAACATTTTCCCTTTTGTACTAATATTTGGATATGAAGTTTTAGCAAAAATGGAAATGGAAATCAAATTGGAAAATTTTGATTTTCAGGTACAAGCACTCTCAACTTCTAACCAGGATGTGGCAAAGGGAACATTGGAAAGCATTGTGATGATTGTTCGAAATCAAGGTTGGAGACAACTCTTCTCTGGCTTAAGCATCAACTATCTGAAGGTGAGTAGGATCAGTTTTCTTTCTATCATACACTAGATTAAGTTGATTAACACCATATGCATAGATCAATTTTTCTGTGTCATGTTATATTATGATATATAGGTTTAATTAACAAGGTTTTCAAATCTCGGGTTTTGGCTGTTTCAGATAATTTGGTGGAGCCAATCTGAAAGAATGCCAAAAAAACGTTATTGTTGAGCCTTACAGAACTTAGAGAGTTTGATCAAATAATGAAAGAATAAGCTCACTAGGAAAGATCGATGAACTTAAAAACTATTAAAACCTAGCCATCTATTTAACTAGAGTTATTGATCGGATCTCAGGGACTGCTTACAGGGGCTTTTTTTTTCGGTGGGGGGGGGGGGGGCCCAAGTAATTAACAAATAGTTCGCTAATTGTTCATCAAATATTCACTTCCATTCGATTTAGCAGTTCATTTGACAGTAAAAAAATAGTTCTTAGCATTCAGTAAATAAACCATGGAAGTTGGGAACTTGGGATGCTATAGTGAACCACGTCCTGGGTTCAGTCATCCCGGATTCACGTGGAACATGACTGGAATCACCAACTCCAATGACCCGATTTAGATTTCAAACTAGCTAAAAATTTTGAAAAAAAAACAATTTTAAAAGAATAAAAATCAAAAAAAGGTGAGAAATTAAGCAAGTAAAGTATGCATTCCCTATTGCAACATGATTCTCAAGATTTTTACCATTACTGATATCAACTAGCACATTTCTTAAATTTGACTCTTGTTAAACCTTTAATTCCTACATTTAAGAACTGAACTTAAAGCGTACCACATACCCTGACATACCATATAAAACTACCTCACTCGTACCTGATTACTAATAAGTGGCATACCACGCTCCCGAACAAACCGGGTTCCGTACCATTATGTCATAAATAAATAGAATTTAACTGGATGTATATTCGATTCGTTTTATTGTCAAATATTCCTTTAAGGTGTTATTCCTTATAATTTGTATTATTACATGTATGATATTATATTTTGACCTGTTTACATTTTGTAATTGAAAGTCTGTACTAAGTTTGATAGACTTGAAGAGCCTTATGTCATTTTAAAAATTAATTTTCTTTAACCAAATAAATGTATCTTTTCAATTACATAGTTTAATGTTCATAAATTATAAATTATTATTGAAATAAATACACAATAATATTCGATAAATCTTCTTGAATATTCAAAACATGATTTTCTTTGAGTTTGAAGGAATTTGGAGAGCGATATTCAAATTTGTATTCAACTTCGAAGATTTTTAAATGAATACAAATACGATACCACAAATTAAATATTGAAAAT